CAGTGAGGAAAGGGTTCTGAGAGCCTTGGAAGTGATATTCGTGATCACCGCGAAATTCTCTATCGAATGGTGTATGAAGTGTCGAAAAATAAATTTCACTGCAAGGCTGCCCTGGGTGCATCTTACCAAAAAAAGACGGATCAAAATTATGAAGTTCATCATCATTAACAAAATAACCACGGCGTATTAAAGGTTTTTTAGAACAGTAAAGAGGACCAAATGAATCCATATCAAAACGTTCTTTTGGAATTTCACTTCCTACATCGATACAATTTTTAAGAACGTTCCAAAATGATTCCGGTGTATCAATTTCACCAGCAAATACACATGATATTCCAACAATGGCAATTAGTTCAAAATTAATTTTCATGTTTTGATAATCAGTTCCTTTTTGCACCATATTCGAAGAATGTGTATTAGAGTGACAATCAGTACTACCCTTATTATAATCTTTTTTGTGTGTTTATAACACCTTTTCTCATCTAAGGAATAAGAAATAGATTTCATTTAGCATCGCTGAAAATGATGACATTGACAATACCTTTTCTACTTACTTAATCATTTGCTTTGTCCGACTTGATGTTAGGCAGATGCAGTATATACACTATCAAAATCAGCTCTATTATTTATAATAACACTATTCTGCCATGAAAAAATCTCTCTCACTCATCAGCCTTACCTATATTATGATAGTCTGAAATTTTCTTTATTATTCATATAATATGAGTTCGAAAATCTCCATCCCATGACTCGTTCTTGGTTTTTCCCGTTTTCTTTATGTTATTACAACGTAATCAAAAAGTTAATTTCATTCATTGGGATTGTTGGAATTTAGACTTTCCAAGTTGAAAATTCCCGTTTCGTTCACTGTCTATGACTCATAAATTATGCGAACTAACTTTGTATTACGCAAAAATTTTCCCTTATTTGTTATTCTGTTAATTATCAAATCAATTCTTTTACGGCGGAGACTTAATTTACGTGGCAAGCGCTGACGGTCTATGTTGGAACTTTCCGGATTAATGCTCGAAGTTCTAATCATCTCCTTCTATTTACGTTCTACTAGCCTTTTCGAAAATTTAATACTACATTGGCTATCTCTATTTTAGAACAAGTTTTGTGACAAACATGAGTTCGCAAAGATATTCTGCTAAAATCCTACGGTAGATGCATCATTGTCATGATTTGCAAGGAAGTGAAGCGTGAACTAGTTGAAGTACGCCTACTAAAGCCTTTGTCATGTGATTGCATCATTACGTACAGGAAGCATTCAAGTTTTTTGCAGTTTATTTCTCACAATTTCTAGTTGAATCGAAAGGCACACATGAATAGCAGTGAAAATTTTGTGTATATGATATTTGAACAACAATATTGTCTTCATCGAACATTCGAGAATGAAAAAGACTATAGTATTCTGCCATATTCCATTATCCTTGAAATCATTCGTCTATGTTCTTTCCAATTTGCTGCCAGTGGTTTTATATATACATGATTTCGAGTCGCGGTTTTCGCGAACAATTTATGCGCTCGTTTGGACTGAAAAACCCCACTGATGTTTCACATCGAACAACAAGTACCCGTAGCCCTACAACCATTCGCACTGTTTAACAAAACTAAACGACTATATACTTACTTACTTACCACATTTTAGTAGGCAACAGCCCTGGTTCTTTTCGAAAGAGCTGTTTGCGAGGCCAGTTGTCTTTCCTAGAACTAAGATGGAATTGTCATCCACTTATGCTTTCCTTATTGTTGTAAGTGTTTTCGTTTTCCATGCACGAGGCCGTCGCGTTCGCTTTCTTTTCTGTACAGCTTGTGACTCGTAATTCCGCTTTTGTTCAATAAATATGAATGAATTGGAAAGAGATTGAATTCGATCAGAGAGTACAAATCTAACACAATGGTATCGTCAAGCTGGACAATTCAATTTCCTGACAAAATTAAATTTGCTCGTACATCGCCGTCGCTGGTCAATATCTAACTGAAATACTGACGATTATGTGGATGGACTCGTCGAGGATTTCGGGGATCTCATCCTGTATGCATGCATCATGAAAATTATGCGATGACTAGCACAAGTACTTGGCGTTGGTATGTATTCAATTTTGTTATTGCTAAAATCCAGCGTTTTCCGTCACAATAACTATTACTATTCTGTAATCCTAGCGTACTGATTCCATACAATGGAACTACCATCCAGAAATGTAGTCTATCGAAAAAAGCTTTCAGCGTAGTCCCTGTGGTTGTCTGTGGGAGGAGGAGGAGGCGGCAAGGGAACCGAAAATAGTGACTTTTGCTCATCTGTATTTATGAGACGCACAAACTGGTTTGATATGATACAACGACGCAAACCATTTATGACTTCCCAAATTGCTCTTTTTTAGAATGCCGACCAAGAGTGACGTATGCTTCTGACTTACCTTTAGTTCATCTTTCTGTTGGAAGACGTAATGAAAGCGACTTATACTTCTCTAGTTCTCTATTCGGTGAAGAAGAAAAGGTCGAATGACTGTAATATGATTTTAATCCTCTACTACAAACCTGAGAAAAAGGGAAGGAAGTCATAGAACTTTGGCGATTCTGGGCAGCCGTAAAAGTTTTTCACCGATCTGACTATTGGCTTAGATAGAGCTGTCGAGCTGGATCGACTGGCATTAGTTTCATCGATAACTTATGGGTTCAGGAGGGAAGCACAGTCCTGGAGGGAAGCACAGGAGTAATATTATCGCGCAATGAAAGTTTTTAAAATGATGGTGGTTGTCCTTTGAAAAAATTCCTGCGTATGTCGTTGTATTTCAGCCATTTGCCGAACCACCACCTAAATCAGCCCGGTCTCGTCCCGTCGGTTTCTGGACCGTAGGCGAGCAAAGATCACTAGTTTGCAGCCAAAATGTAATGAACAGCTCTTAGTCAACATCTCAGCCGCTGTCTGACCTCGAAAGAGCGAGTTTCTAGAAAGCCCCCTGCCAAAATGTAAAAAAACACAGAATAGTTTAGTATGAAAAGTAATATCCAATTAAAAAAGAAAAATATAATTCTCACTCATCAGAAGAACAAAACAGACAATTATTCGTCACATCCTAAGTGAAGAAGGAGAACTACTACCATGTCAGTGTTCGTGGATCATTCTCTTTAGCCACTATATATAATATAATTGACAGTTTGGTACGGTTGGAGTAAACTGAATGATTGACCATTTCCAGTACTGCCACTTTGACCTGCGACTTTATGCGTATGACTGCCAGCTGGATTAATTGTTATACCTGTATAGGCTAGCGAAATTGAGTGACGGTGTTTTTCAACATCATTGCCTGAACCGCCCTTCGGATTCATACCAAATCCTCCCGAATTTGAAGGCCCTTCACCTGTCTGGCCACCGTGATCATGTTTTGGATCTTGATAGGAATGTGAATGATCTCCAGCTGTTTCTGCATAGAATGTACCATTCTCATGGACATGCGACGGAAGTTGTTCAACTGTGAGAATTTGCGTGGCTTGTCCACCAATTCGTCCCAACGTTGTAGCATTGGGTGTGGTCTTACTTGATTTATCCACACCCATAGGAATACGTCCACGAAAATCTGGTAAATTGAAAGTTGATGAGCCATCACCTGCACCATAACTTGTATCAATAACAGAGAATAGACGTTGATATTCAATTCGAGAAATAGCTGTACCATTACACAAAAGCCATGGAACTGCTGGCAGAGAGACACCGGTGAAGATTAGTACAGTTCCCGTTGGAAATGTTGAAGGTTTGTTTGCATCTGTAGAGACAATTGGTTTATTGAGAACGCTGATTTCCCGTACAATAGCACCATTTGTTTTATCAGCAGTTAGCTGTTTTGATATCATTGCCACTTGTAGATAATCGGACAGATCAATTAATTTATAGACGTTAAATGACTTTGCTATGAATTTTTCCCCTTTCCATTCAAATTCTGACTGTTGTTGTGTTAGGAGACGTTTTATGTCGGTGAGGGAGTAGATGTCTTTTGTTGACTGTTTTAGATTGTCAAGTAATGAATTGGCAGAGCTTGATGAACCACCACCACTGGCACCAAGACTGAATATACCAACCGATCCGGTTAGGCTACCTTGACCTGATGAGGATGCCGATGATGTAGTTAGATGTTCTCTATCTAAGTTGAAATACGTGTCGGTGTAGTTATGTAGTTTAGTCTGTGTATCGTTGTATCTGAACAATTTACTGAGTTCAGATGTTAAACGATCAGGATTCAAATCGGATGATGACCAAACCTGATTGTAGAGATCGGCATTCAGTGTAATTTGAGTTGCAGTGCTCATACCTTAAAAATAAAGTTGAAACTATTAATGGGTGATGCAAAAGTTTTTCCCTTTTTTGTTTCCAATATTGCTTTCTCCCAAAACATCCGGAAGGTTTAATTGTTTCTCCGATGGAAAGACCGAAATCTGAACTTCAAAAAAACATATGAAACAAAACTTTTGTGATTGAATTTGAGTGAGAAAAAATTTAAATACCAAATGCCGCCAAAAAGCTCTTGTAATTTTCGCACTCTTGGAACATCTCTTTCTCAACAACGTTTTCCTTTCCTCATAACAGAATACATTTGAAATCATGTATTTATAGAAACCAGAAATTTTTTTGTCGCTCTTTCGAATAGGGTACGATAAATTATTTTTCAATCTACTTTTCAAGCAGAAATTCGCAAATTTCTCAATAGTTTCAAAAAATTAGTTAATTAGATCTAATTAATAGTTTTACATAGAGAAAGAGCTTCGTTCTTTTCCTAAAACAAACTTTCTGAATCAGCATTCAATTTTCTACAAATTCGTATTCGTTTTAATCATTACTGACATATTTTGAGCCATAAATAAATAAATTTTCTCGATGCACCATCTCTCTCATGCAAAACGAAACTTTCTACCAAAACTGGGTTTCACAATACGCTGTTTTTTGTATTAAGATATCACTGAAAAACTTTCAAAAGTAGGGCGATCGATACAGTTTTGCAGAAGCTACATTCTGATCGATCTGATTTCCAAAAAAGCTTATTTCTTCAGGCTACAGTAAGAAAATAAAGAAAAAAGCACTTTACAAGAGCTTTTTGGCGGCATTTGGTATTTAAATTTTTTCTCACTCAAATTCAATCACAAAAGTTTTGTTTCATATGTTTTTTTGAAGTTCAGATTTCGGTCTTTCCAACGGAGAAACAATTAAACCTTCCGGATGTTTTGGGAGAAAGTAATAGTGGAAACAAAAAAGGAAAACACTTTTGCATCACCCGTTAGATTCGCTCAAAGACTTTAGACTAATTTCTCAAGGATTCTAGCACTTTATACAACAAGTTAGACGCAAACGTGAGGCATGGTTTTTCTGATGTAGTTTTGTACGCTAATTGCAATAGTGAAAACCGAGCTTTCTAGCCGTGTTGAAAAAAAACCTATGCGGAAAATACTTTCTCAGTGGGATAGATTTTCCAACAAAAATGATCATTTCGTTCGGACCCTTATTCCTTTCGCATAGCCTTTATTTCGGTCTCAAATGAAAGATCTTGACTAGCTCTCTTATAATTCAAAGAAAAAAACAGATATATATATATAATTATACAGTTCGTAACAGAAGTTATGGATTTCTGAAAACCCAGGCTTTGCAGAAAACCTCAAGGCATCAGAAATCTCAAAACGTTTTCTAAGACCACCAATCAATAGCCTGTTCAGCTCTAATGAGACAGCAGCGAACTTTTGATGATATTTCTCTGCGAAGTTATAGAGCTTTTTCGAAACGGAGACTAAACCAAAGAGATCTCGCAACTTTTACCTCCGATTTTTACCTCTCTTCGCATTTTTCGTTCGACTTTTCACGGAAACGTCGTAGAAAGTTGAGCCACGTCTTATTCTGACGAGCATTGAAAAAGCTATTGATTGAGCTTTAGAAAAGATCCTAGATTTGCTGGTAAGCCATTTTTCTCAGAAAACCATAAGTTTTATTCCATGTATATATGTATATATGTATATATATACCTATCCTCCCTTCGAATCTGAAGAGATCTTGCCGAGATCTTTCATTTGAAAACAAAATGAAAGTTATGGAAAAGGAATAATGGTTCGAAAGAACTGACACAAAACGATCGTTTTTGCTGGGAAAATAGCTTTTCTTGAATAACTTTCTCTGACAAAGACAGCGAGCTGCGGTTTTTACCATCAGGAACAGCGTATCTCACGTTTGCGTCTCGGATCGGTGTAGTGGAGGAGAGTTCTATACGAGTTTTCTCTTTAGCACTCAGATTTAAATAGTAAATAGTGCGCAAACAAATCAAATGTTTCAGACTATTACTATCGCGTGTCTATCTTTTGTGCTACGTTTGAATTACCTTGTTCTAACAGTGAAATGAATTGTTCTTCAAAACCATCAGTTAATGACGTAACATTCGCATTGGAATTCTCAACATACATCATTTTCTTTACATTTATTAAATATTTTCCAACAAATTTTCCAGCTTGATTTCGATGTATATACTGTGCATTTGTATTACCACCATCAGCTGTTGTTTTACTCAACACATTTTTTAATTGTTCAGCTGTAATTGATACAAAATTGGTTGTAACTTGATTGAATCCGGCAAAGTAGAATGCAATTTTAATGCTATAATCACCATTTTTAATCTTTGGTATAATCAACTGAGCATTGGATTGCGAACTACATTCAAAACGGAATATGATTGTTAAGGAATTAGGATTCACGGTTCGATATGGAGTGACACCTTGAACAGGTGATGATACAGCATTAACAATATAGGCCATTAGGGAGTCGATCATCAATGGTGCAATAGTCCAATATTTTGAATATTGTGAAATTGATAAAGAATACTTTGCAATGGTTGCTTGCCGTGCCAATTCATCAGTTTCGTCGGTACCCACTGATAGTGCCAAACGAATTTCACTGTTGACAGACCAGACCCACGAAGAAGTATCCTTATTGCCTTGTTGCTGTTGTTGTATGACAGGAACCATAGTCGGTACATAGTAGAATACCCATTTCTGTGGTTCGGCTTTGTTTTCATTTTCATTTGAAAGCGCACTATAGACATAGACTCGTGTACCTTGGTATTGAAAAATTGTTAACACCTGTGTATTGACAACAGCTGTAGCTAGACTGCTATCAGTGGAAGCAGCACGAGCTTGGGTACCACTTGTTATGGTTTCATTCGTCTTATCATCATTATTAACGATATCGGGTAGAAGAGCAGCAGCAGAAGCAATACTGACTTTAAATAGGAAGAATAACGTGAATAAGAAGAACACAGCAGAAAGGGAATGGTGGGACATATTTTGTGTTTCCTTATACTGTGGAAGTGAACGAATATTTGTATAGGTATATAAACATTTAATACTGCTGGAGTACCTCTCCTTTTTTTTCTGTTACACAAATATTCATTTTAGATGGTTTTTATTCGTCTAGTGAATAAAAACACTATGATAATCGACTATGCAGAAGTTAGTCATGAACTTGCACACTTCGTCATTGAGGGACTCTACCTTTTCTTCTCTTCCTTCTTCAATCGTATTCAAAAAAAATTAAATTAAATTAAAAGTGTGATTCCTTCTTCCAACTTACTACTTTATTCAGAAAAATAACAATAATTATTCTACAGTGGGTTATACACGATTACAAGCCTTTCAACTGTGGGAGAAAAAGCAAATGAAGTGTAAGAATAATACGTTTTTTAATCTTGAGTTGAGTTTAGAGTGTTTTTATTCACTAGACGAATAAACACCATGTAAAATGGATATTTGTGGAACAGAAAAAACAGAAGAAGTACTCCAGCAGTATTAAATGTTTATATACATATAACTAGCAAGGTACCCGGCGCTTCGATCCGGGTTGCGCGGTAGTAAATTCATCCTTCATTAATGGTACCATTCGAAGACATGAATCGAAATTCAACATTTTGTTGTTTGAAAGTTACACTTCAAGACCGATATAAATTAGAATTTCAACAACTTGAGCATTACCGTTTAAGTCAGTTCTATGAACAACCACCAATAAACAGACATTCAAAACAATGTAGGGTACCAGAATTGCTAGAATTACCTTATTTGTGTTCGTTATGGAAAACAGCATCAATTCTTCCACGTTTAATAACGGCATGCGAACACCAAGTATATGTTAAGCTAATGAAGACATTTGATCAATTATGTCAATTAAATGACATAGAATATACCGAAATATCGCTGCGACGGCGCAGCTACAAAGAAATGGCTGCTAAAAAGGATGAGGGTGGATAAGGCCGTTTTCTTGCCCACCTTGGATTTAAGATTTATTTATTTTTAGCATTTGTCTTGATGAGTAAAGACTTTTGAAAAAATCTCTTGATATCTGGAAAAAAACCAGATGGATGATGGAATAGGTCTTAATCTTTCAAATCTCGCGAGTTTTGTAGAAAAATGCATTCTCGATTGAATGAGTTCAGAATCAGATTTTAAAGTGTCTCAACGGTAGAAAACAAAGACAGATCTTCGCCCAAAACAATACTTCGAAATCGCACTTTGGTCTATGGCTTTCTCACTTGTACTTATCAAGGACTCCTGACAAAATAGAGAGCTTGACTTTTTTTATATGAAAATTAGAGAATATCAGTTATTATAAGAATTACAACAACCACCGAGGAGCTGAAAATTCATTAGTGCTGATGGCTCATCGATGACTCACCACCACTAATTAATAGCGCTTCATGACTCATCGATGACTCATCGTGATTAATTAATTAATAATTGATTCATAGTTCGAAAGAACTAGTGAACAGCTCAGAAGAGCTGGTCGATCAGGTGACCAGTTCATTTGAGCCGTTCACCAGCTCATTTGAGCTAAGGACCGTAACATCGCTACTCGAAAGTATATGTAAAATATTCTATTATCTCATCCCATTGCCATTTTTTTATGGATTATTTAGAGACACATACCATTCCATAGAGCGTCGATTGGGCTACAAATTGGGCTATTTTTTTCAATTTGAAACAGGTTTTAGAAGTATCTCGAAAGAAAGATCTTTCTACAAGGCACTTAATTTTCAGAGCATATGTCCGGTAAATGTCGCATTTCTCAACCACAACAAGATCAAAATTGGCTCCGAAAGATGTTATTCGAAAGAGCATCAAAAAATGCACCGAACAGGCTAATTTATAAATTTTTTGTTGAGTGTCGTAGAAACAATCATCTATTTTTTCATGAACCTGTCATGAACATTCGCAGCCTGTGTTCCTTGCTAGACTCATGACTATTTATGTTTGAACTTCGTAATATGGTGTTCGGCTTCTAGTTGGAACTATCGATTTATCACCCGATAATCGATCGATTTAACTATTGCTAGTTGCACACGCAAACACATCTAGTTAAAAGTCCCTTTTCCAACTGGTAATCGAGATGGCAACTAATCGTGCATCATTACAGACGAAATGTATCTAGATTTTTCCCATAGGTGATATTTGCCAGGGCATCGATTCACAATGAACGTAAACGGCAACATTTACTTGATACAGCGAATACGTTAAGCGTCAATCATAGATCCAGTCAGCAGCAACCAACTGATCAAATGATAGCAGATCAAATAGTGTAGATGATCCTGATCTACTGCTTCCACAGTTCAAACAACTGTCTGAATCTGCAGCTGTGCAATAAAGTTAAAATATAAATAATATAAATAAATACATCGGACCTGTTAGGCCAGTCAATCCCATCTATCCCTATCGTGTCTCATCCCTTCCACAAATTAGCATTCAAATGGAAGTGAAACAACATTCTTATATAGAAAAGCTGTGTCACATTTGATTGTGGCGATGCTACGGCTTCATGACGACCCAACCTAACCTGACCCAGAGATAGAGAATTGATGATCACTAGTGAGACACAGCTGGATAGACATGACAACTCAACCTAACCCAGCCCAAAGATGCAGTGACATATGCTGACTACAGGTTTGACGATTTAACCTAACCTAAGTCGACAAAAGAAGTTCAAAGGGACGAAATAGGAATGCTAATACTAGCAGAAGGCTGAAGCACCATAAGCAATAAGTGAAGAGCAGTTGACAGTGCGTGAGTTTTATGAAACACCTAAGGAGTTACTATTTGGCAGCCGGTCCGAAACTGGTCAAATTTTTCCTTTTCGAGGGATATCTTGTATTTCGAGGATTTCTCGCCCAAATGCACATGCCAAAATCTATATTCTGTCAGTTGTTGTTGTCGCACAAATATTTCGCTCAACCAGTTTGTTGATTTAAGATTTGTTCGTTCCCTGTTATCAATGTTTCTACATATAAGAGAAAAGTCATGAATTGCTCAACTTTTAGTTGATAGGCTTTCTTCAAAATAATCTACTATCGAAACGGAAAGGTCGTGCCGGTTGCCGTTTTTCAAATAACTTTTTAACGAAAGGTCTTAGCGGCCTGCGGTTTTCACCATCGTATAGAGGACGACTTTTGACGCAATCTTAACAGTAAGCCCCGCAAGGTACACCACCTGCAGGTGGTAAGCCTCATCAACCTTGGAAAGAGTAGGTTGCCAAACCAAGCAAAAAAATTTCCCCGATGCAGGTTTGAACCACCAGATCTTCCGCTACAAGTCCGCGAAAGAACCAAATCGCTATCTCTCAGCGTTCGGGCAGGGCTCGGATTTTCCCCGGACCTGTCTGAGATCTTATTTTCTTGCAGAAAAAAATGTAAGAATGGTTGAAACATAGGTTATCGCATGCGCTGATTAACGTGGCAATGTTTTCAAGAAGTTTGGGAGTCATTTTGTAGCCGATATACAAAGTACCGTTCAAATATTACGCTGCCTTACGTGCAAGTCCTCAAAACTAGCCTATCTCAGCAAGTTAAAGTCAAAATTATTATTATTATTATTTATTAAGATTTTGAAAGTATAAGCAGAAATTTTAATTGAAAGGCCTCAAACCGTTAGAAGGTTACTTTGCAAATCTATCTAGTTTTTTGTGTGAAGAGATAGAACGCTCATTTTTATGCCAATCGGACCGTCTTGAATTGGGCATCAAAAGTATGACTCGCTTTTTCTAAGATTGCTTTTTGTTCTAGACATAATCGATTTTGATTGAAAATTAGGCATTTTTGACCGAAATCGTACAGCTGATTTGCAAATATAGTTTTGGTTGGAGTTAAGTGAAAATTTGGATTTATTGATAAAAAATAGTGACAAATTCAATGAAAACGCTTTGAGAGTTTTCGAAGATCTGTAAATGGCTTTCCTAGAAAACCGAATCTTTAGAAAACCTTTTGAAACCAATTTTTTTAATAATAGTCTAGATCGATAGAGAATTAAATTTTGAGCGCTGTGTTATATCAAATCAAACCGTTTCTTATATCAAAACCAAAATTGTGTAAGCACAAACCGAAAGCTAACGCAGCGGTGTACATATCGTTCGACAGCCCACACTGTCTACTATTATAATCCATGCCATTTTTCTCCATATTCAAATTATGATGTAATTTGTAATTATTTAGAAAAAAACTCTGTCTATTTTTTCATGATACTACGTGATACAGCATCTATACTTTCATGCTTGACAACATGAGATATATTTCACATACGCAGAATTATAGAGCCTTCTTTGCTCTACAAAATAATATGTAACACAGCCCTGTGTGACTCCATTAGTCAAACTTATCAATACTTTACTGAGATAAGGCAATATAAAATTGCATATGTCACATATGGCTACGTTACGAACTAATTTCATTGCCATTTCTTGGATTAATTTTTTAAAAAATTAACAATCAAACACAATATCTATTACAAAAATGGTTTTAAGACAAGAAAATAATTCAGAAATGCACAAATACAGACTATAACAAGCCAATACTAAAGTATTCTTGGTCTTTTTTTAAAAAATAGAACCTGAGATAGGATCTAAAACATCTGTGGTAAAAATGTCAGCTAGATCGGATCGTTTTTCCGAGGGATCCTAATGTGGCTGGATGAGAACTAAAGTTTTTTAGAAAACTCATAGAAGAACATGTCTGAAAATTCTGGGCAAAAAAAGCATCGATGTTCTATCTCTAGTATACATTTTTATCAATACAGTTACTATCGATTCATTTTTTTTTTATTTATTATTATTAAAAATATTTATATTTAATAAAAATTTTATATTTATTTATTATTAATATTTAATCTTATTTTTATTAACTTTATTAATTTTTAAAATATTATTGACAGAAAACACAAATGGGGGAATGGCGATCCATATGTATCGTTTTGATACAATTTATGGTTCAGCTCATAGCACCTATTTTGCGCATTGGAATTGAACAATTTTTTTTCATTTTACTCATAAAACTTTCCTCTAGTTGTACTGCTAAAATAACTTCTTTATCTCCATTCCATCCTGAAATATTTGGAAAAGAAATCTCAATTTTCACGATTTTGGCGGTGGTCTCGGTGTAGAGTCTCTCGAAAAAACGCTTCCTCTGTTTTTTAGCTAATAGCTTTCACCAACTCTTTTTTAATGATTGAATAGAGACACTTTGGGCTACAAATCTACAGTATCTTCGTCTTTTTTGTTTTATAGTTACGAAAAAAGGAAAAAATGTCCCATCACGCTGCTCGAGCATTTTTTTGCCCTAGAGACTTCATCAAGACCAAACTTGAAAATAGCCAAGCGATAGGTCAGAAGGTACAAAATCTATGGTTAGAAGAAAAAAATTCAAAATCATTTCGTTTCAGATAAAAATAGAAAACACTGAGTTTTTGTCCCTACTTTTCTACTAAATGTACCGTCACGCTTTAACGCATGTTTTCGCTATAAAATCTGATCCATTTCGTTTTAAGGAAGGATTTTTTACCACACAAGTATCTAGTAGAATTATACCTGTAGTAAAAAAATCGAGACTTCATCTTTTATTTTGACTGAGAAAAGCTAACTTTCCTGCTAAAATATCCCATCACGCTTTTGTCCAGTACGTCCGCTAAATTTCTGAGTTTGTCCTTTGAGTGTTAGTGGGGTAATAGTTATTCTCCGTCTCACTGAAAGTCCATGAGTTTTTCATCTAAACGGTACATATGAATTGCAATTCTCCCATATTCAGCGAACAAACAGTGTCAAATAGTGAACTTTTAAGTATTTGGCACGTGTTAATTGATTTATTCATCTCAAAAAATTTTTTTTTGTTGTGAGAAAAATCGTCAGTCCGTTACTTGTGGACAGACTTTATAAACAGTTCATTTTTTTAAAACTTTCTAACATGATACTTCGAACTAGCTCGAACACATATTCTGAGAGTTTTGTACAACCTACGCCTGATGGAGATAAGGTTCGACAGATTCTGAATGAAATCATCATCATCGAAAATACGGAGAACTTCTACGGAAACAAGTGCACAAAAACTGTTACTTTTGAGTATGTTCGTTTTTCGAGCATTCTACTTTTGCTCATTCTTTGATTGCATTTATTAATAAAATTGGGTTTTCAGCTCTTGTACCATCATGAATAACCCACAATTCTTTATTTATCAAGCCAAAGTACAGATAGTATTTACAATAGAAAAGAAGTTTCATCGATTTAGTCATTAAGTGATGTTTACTTATCGAATTCAATTAAGAACTTTAATAAATCAGCCTCTTGTTTCAAGTCTGGATCGTTCAATTCAGCCATTTCTGTTTGAAAATAATCCAAAAATCTTTTAAATAACTGTTGATAAACGTCCGATACAACTAATGGTAATGATTGTCGTTCCCATCCACTTAACATATGTGGAAATAAAAAATGCTCGTCACTATAATTGTATATTGTTGTTATTGGTTTACCATTGAATTTATGTTGACGTTCATTAACCATCCATTGCTTCAATAATGTAACATAATTAACTAATAAAATTCCTTTTCTTATACCTGTATTCGAATAAGAACTTTTTGAGCATTGTTTTTGAGTCCTTAAAATATTGATCGATCGGTTTTCTTCATATATTTTATTCAAACGATCTTCATATGTTACTGTCAAACGTATGTCGAATGTGTTTAAATTCGATTGATTCTTCTTTTTCAATTTGATAAGAACAATACCACCACGTGTTGTATCATCATTTTTCCTTCTCGACGGAAACAATGTATTTATTTTCATTAATTCATTTGTTGATTGTTTATATTCCGGTGAACCATAAACTTGATCAATTTCAAATTGATTTGATTCAAATTTCAATGTTAAATTAAATATTAATGGTGTTATAATCAAATCAAAATCCTCGTCTAACAATTGTGTAAAAGATTTTGAATTGCCCACAGAAAAAAAATTAGCACCACGTTGTTTAGTTATCGACGATATTAATTTTGTATTGAAATCAATGCCAACACCAATAAATGTCATGTAAATATGTCGACATGCCAATTGTTCGATACTGGTGATAAAAGATTCTTCTCTTAGGTTACCTTCATTTGGTTGAGCATCGGTCAAAAATACAATACGATTGTCATAATCATCTGATAGCAATTGTGAACTAAATAATGATGCACCGGTAGAAATACCAGCACTTATATCTGTCCAACCTTGTGCTCGAATGTTTAGTAACTGTTTGTTTAATACTTTAAGATTGATGTCTTTCAATTGTTTGAATGTTTGAATTATTTTAGCCTTTGTATTAAATGTAACAATAGCTAAACGATCTTCTGCTGATAAATGATTTAAAAGTTTGACTAAAATATCCAGTGCAATTTGAATTTTTGATCGTGAGTCACCATTGTTATTGTTCTTGACTGTTGGACGATCATAATAATAACTATCAAATGAGGATGACATTGATTCACTTGTATCGAGAACAACAACTAAATTTAATGGATTTCGTTTAAATGTACTTGCACGCAGATTGGAATTGAAACCAACAGTTATATAATATTCATGCAATTGTTGCTCTAAAATGTAAGCAAATTTGAAATCTTATTAAGACTTTTTCTAACATTAATTTGTCCTAAACACGTGTTAATTATTCATTATTCCAAAGATTACACCACAAGACTTATTTAAATATTTCAAAAGAGTCTATTCAGAAATTTAAAATCATGATCAGGAAAGCGTTTTTCAACTTCGCAATTCTAGCATCGTTGCGTACAGCTACGTCACGGACAAGAAAGCGGATGGTTGACCGCGTAGAGCAGGACAATTCCAGTAAGAAAGGAAAATCAAAAATTACTTGATCTGATAGTAAGGTGCACGCAATTCAAAAATCGAGCACTATCTCAGTTTTTGGTCGAAAGCTACGTACTCAGGTACTCCTGACTGCGCTGATTCCGAGTATCACCTTTTTTCTCGAATTCAATCAAGTTTTTGGGGAGATATTTTCAAAATACTAGGGGCACCGAAAAAACAAAAAATTTGCATCATTCTAAGAAAATTCGAGATTTTGCCCCCTTTCGTTAATTGTAATTTTTCGAATTTGATATATTGGGATTTTGCATCAAAAACTGAGTCTAATCATATACCTTTGAATCACAAAAACCAAAATACCTGTGTTGCACAAGTTTGACAAGAGTAAGCACTCGATAAAATGAGCTACGTCTCTCGCAAACCCATCTCCTCCCTGGTTTTGAAACTTTTCTCCGATCGTCATACGCCATTCGAATCAGCATTTAAAGGCGAACAAAAGTACACATCGCTTTTCTTTCTAATATTCTTATCTTACTGAGAATACTCGTTTTTCCCATACCTGGAGTGGAAATTCTGCTCCTAAATCTCGGTTTTTCTCACCAGAAGTCATTTATTATGCAATATAAATATCATATTCGGAATCAGCGTGAAAAACTGGGTCAAACGCTAGATATCATCCTTTCCGAGAATTTCATTTTTTGGTGGAAATCTTGGTCATTTTTTAGATGAAAACCTGATAAAAATGAAAATCCTCAGAAAGGATGGTATCAAGGCGTTTGACCCAGTTTTTCACGCTGATTCCGAATATGATATTTATATTGCATAATAAATGACTTCTGGTGAGAAAAACCGAGATTTAGGGGCAGAATTTCCACTCCAGGTATGGGAAAAAAAAGTATTCTCAGTAAGATAAGAAGATTACAAAGAATATTTAACGAAAGGAAGGAAGGAATATTAGAAGAATATATAAGGTTTTTGTGACTCAAGGGTACATGATTAGACTCAGTTTTTGATGCAGAATCTGAATATATCAAATTCGAAAAATTACAATTAACGAAAGGGGACAAAATCTCGAATTTTCTTAGAATGATGCAAATTTTTTGTTTTTTCGGTGCCCCTAGTATTTTGAAAATTTCTCCCCAAAAACTTGATTGAATTCGAGAAAAAAGGTGATACAAAAAATCAGCATAGTCAGGAGTACCTGAGTACGTAGCTTTCGACCAAAAACTGAGATAGTGCTCGATTTTTGAATTGCGCGCACCTTATGTGTACAGCTATAAAAAAATATACTTCTTTCGTGCACTTTAGGATGAAAGTTCCAGATTTAATCAACAATCAAATGAGATTTCGTTTCCGGTTTTCAGTTTTTTCTGACCAGTGACGATTGTCGAGATATTCACTATTCTATACTATAGAGGGCGCTGTTTTTGTGAATCTCTCGGTAATCGCCGCTTGTCAGAAAAAACTGAAAACGGGAAACGAAATCTCATTTGATTGCTGATTAAGTCTGGAACTTTCATCCAATGAATTGGTAATACAAATAAAACAAAAAGTGCACGAAAGAAGCATATTTTTTTTTATAGCTGTATCCACACACTATGACGTGAGTGTCATTATTGAAGCCATCCGATTTTTTTCTGATCCTCTGCACGCGAAGTTTTATTTGTAAGTAAGGTGCACGCAAATCAAAGATCGAGCACTATTTTTTTTCAATGTATTATATATGATTGGATAGAGCTCGTCGAGATGAGTCAGAATATGTATGTTTCGGCCTTTCGTAATGAAGTTTCAAAAAACTCAAAATTTGACTTTTGTTCAAAAACCGTGAAATTTTCGATAAAATTCGTTTTCCAAGCTCCAGTCATATTTCGTAGCTTTATGATAATATCTCATAAATTGGAAATCAGGTGTCAATTTTACTTACTTGGTTCTGGAAATGAATTGTTGTACACAGTGGCCATCGAATATGTAGGGCAAAATAACTTTTCACATACATATTGACTATTAACACTACTACCAGTATCAAAAAAATACTCATAGAACAAACCTTCATACAATAAATCTGTAATAATTGGTAAATATCCATTACGAATATTTTCACGAAAATTGTTTATATCTTTGCTACCACCAACGGAAAATCCGAGTTGAGCACCATTTGATCGTAATGATACCCTTGGTCCTAACGATAGATACATCCTATTGATAACACTGGTCGAAATACACTTCCAAATCGAGTTGATGAAGAACTGTTACAGATTATTATCGGGATTCGTATTGTTAAGTTCTTAATCAACATGGTTTCAGTTACACTGGATACTTTTGTTGAATTTATTTTTGTTGATGAATATAGAAATATGAGTATCGTTTTCAATAAGTTGAAATTAGTTCCCATTTTTGACTATGACCATGCTTGACAGATTGGCGTTCGCGTCGTTGAATTATTAATGTAAAAATGGCGTTTTCCTATCGCATAGACCGGAGTATATAATACAGATTTATCTCCTATTCCTGTATTTGTAATATATTTATCAACACAGTGCTGTACTTTGTATACGTTTATTTGCCGAAGAAGTGGAAAGCAAGAATATAAGAATAACAACAAAGAAATGAAAGTTAATAAATCGGAACGGTGTTGATAATACGATTTAATCGATTAATAAGTCTGTCTGTCGAGAATATAAGAAATACAACACTGCTATGAAAATCATATTGAACAAAAATTTTTATTCGTTAGCGAGCTTTCGATGTCTTTCTACCCAGGTCAACTATCTTACAAAAAACGCGACGTGACTCGCGATGGAAAGTCACGGCGTGAACGCGTCACGCGAATAGCAGTCTAGTCGCTAAATGCGACGCTCTTACCGCAATCGCTATAAATTCGCGATGAAGTGGAATTTCTGCTATACTTTCACTGACCATTCAATCGGTGACCATTGTAACATGATCGGCTACATGAGTCCTACTTTCGCGGAGCGAATGTTTTCATTCTCGCCATTTTACTTATTTTAGCGTAAAACAGAAAGATAAGCATCAGGAAAAGAGTAATATCAGAAGTTTGCATTTCAGAAAGTCAGCATCCAGTTTGGCACTTAAGTGCACCATGTTTTACCGGCTTACTCTTCGGAACATGATGCACGTAACAAGTACACAGTTATTTCAGAACAGCATATCTGGTGGAAAGTGAAGAAGTCCTTTC